ATGTTTTTTTCCCCTCACCTTTCACATTATCTCTTCAGTGTTTGAGCTTCCTCTGTGCTTCTGTGATCTCATAGGACATTAGAAGCACTGAGCCTGCTGTTTGCAACTTTGACACCTTTTTAACGATCTCCTTGAGACTTTTGCTAATAACTTTGGATGATATCCAGTCCTCTGGATATAAATCTATATGGTACTGGAAGTCCATTTGTTCAATGATGTCTTAATAAAAGTAAAATGTAAAAGGAAGGCATATTTTAAAGTGTAAGGAAGAAGGGGAGGGGAGCAAAATTCTTATTGAGCCTTCAGCTCTAACTCTGCATTTCAGGATTTCTGAATGCTTGATTTGCTAGCATTAATGTTGCAGTAAATTAGAATAGTTTTGCATGAGGGTATGTGTGTTTAAGCATGAAATCTCTTGCATCTGTTTGTCCCTATTAAACAGCAGTAGTAAAAGAAACAGACAGAAGACGGGTGCAGAACAAAGAACAAATAATGGAGTATTTCACCCCCCAAAGAAGAGTGAAGCGAGAAGTGTAATGAGTAGACGAAGACAAACTCAATGGCCTGAGGCCATGCAATGTGCTGGAGAGAGTAGTAATTCAGGGACCTTTGCTGCCCAGAGCTTCAATCTGTGATCTCCGAGCGGCACATATGTCAGAAGTGTTTGGCCACCCCTGCTATAGACTTAATGCTTTTCCCAGAAGAAACCTCCATAGGGCTTTAAAGCGCCACTGTCTAGGACTGTCAGCACAAATGCTGATCCATCTAAAACCGGAATAATCTGGTTGGGATAGAAATCCCTAAGTGGGAAAGGGACTGGCTAACTTCTTCTCTTAGCTCTCGCACATGATTATGCACACACATACAGACACACATAAAATAAAAGTAATAGCGGTGTTGAATATTGTACATTTTTCTGCAGGCTGCAGCACTTAATTATTCCCAGTTTACTGGGTAAATATTCTTTTTGCAAAACTGGCCAAATGCACACGTCTCTTTCAAGATACTGTATTGTTTTATTTTCACTACTTTTGAATCTACTCTTCTTTTCATTTTGCTTTTAAATTATTTAACCCTTGATTGCCCCTCTGCCCAGCACATGAAGACTATAACAAATTGAGAGTAATGTTCTCAGAAAGCTTGAGAAGTGACTATTATTTGATAGTCACTTGATATTTGATATTATTTGATTATTTGATATATCTCTCATGTAAATTTATCCACAGGCAGTGTATGATTGCCGTAGAGCTCCAACATGTGCTTTGTTGCTGCTGGTAGTGGAGTTGAAATGCATGACCCTGGCAGTCCCGAAACATGAGCTAACTGGATTGACCAACTCTTAATATTTTTGATGTACTTATGTGTGGTTTGGAATTCAGGAATGAGTTCCTTTGTTACTAACATGGCTTAAACATGCTATTTGCAGTTCAGTATCTTTTCCATTGCTCTGTAAAGCGTGATGACATCTTTAGCAAAACTGTGACTCTACTACATGCTGTACAAAATACCTTGGGATGCATTTCCTGTCCATAGTAAAAAGCATGATGAAATTTCTATGCAGTTTTTGTTAGAGGCCAAGTAACTTTAGGCTGCTGAGGAGTGGGAAGGCAGTGATCATACAGCTTGTACAGTGATGTTTTTGTTGGAGAAGTTGTTCATTAAGCTTCACAGATGACAGAACAGGTTTATAAAGTTTATTATTACAGGTTTCCCCTAAAACATGCTGATAATAAAAGAATTACAGGATTTTTAAGGCTAGCTAGTGGTAAATATTGTACACATCAGCTTGAATTTCACTCCAGCATAACAAGAAAACCTACTGATGGAAGCTAGCCATTCACAGGGACAAAGATGTGCATGTAGTAGAAAATAGTAGAATTGTACTGAATAAAATGTGGAAGTGGTCTGGAGCAAGCAATTTCCTGGCTTTGGTGGATCTGCATTTGTTGAATCTCATTTCTGACACTGTTTACTGGTGAAGAATGAGTGAGTGGGTGGAGGTTTTGGACATGCAAGTTGACTTGTATTTTATATCATGCATGTAGTCATCAGCAGATGAAGACACTAACAGACTAAGTTAGACTTGAGGCACCAGTCCCAAGTTTATTAAGACTATCTGTGGAGGCTTTCTTTTTTATATGGTACATAAAGGATGAGGGTTACTGACAGAATGGGGGTTAGTGATCATTTTAATATTTTTTAAGGTTGTTAGAGGTGTGGAAGTTTTGTCTGGTTACACAAAGCCTGGCATAGTGTCCACGGATAGCGATCAGCACATCCACTTCTTTCTCAATATGGCCTCAAGACCGTGTTGTGATATCCTTTGGAGATATTCTGTGGTGATAGTTGACAAATTGACTTTCAAAAATTGTCTGGAAGGGACCTGAAATTAAGCCACAGAGTTTTGCAGGAAGTTGGAAGAATTATTGTTTTCTTAGTGGCCTTCAGTCTGATCTCCGTTATGTGGAAACTTTGTTTTAGGAAGCTAATATTGTGCAATAAACTTAATTTTCCTTTCTCACTTAAGTACCAGAACTTCCGATATTTACTATGGTTTTGTAGAGTCTGTGTCTGTGGGATAAATAGCAACTGACATCAGTGAATAAAATTAGAAGGCATGTTTACTTAGCTGAACACAAAGTAATGCTCAAATTTTTGGAAAAAGAAATCAGGGTTAAGTTTTAACAGAAATAAAAGTCTTAGTTTTAATTGCCCTTGTTCAGCTTAACTACTATAGTAAATGTTTTAGCTCCTAAATATTTTCTTTTGCCTATTTATGGGGTGTTAATGGACTTAACTTTTTCCCTGATCTTTTTTTTTTTTTTTAAAAAAAAAATTAAAGTGCTGTTTTAACAGCATTGCATAGGGAAGTAGAACAAGTCTTTCGATGTGGCATTTTTCACAGGAATTGTGCATGTTATCCTTTTTGCAGAACTCTAATCTTTATGCAGGCATAGACAAGACAAAATATTTAACAAGACTGAATTATTGCCAAAACCTGTCTTCAGATGGACAAATTATCACCTGCTCAAATTGGTGTATATGCATGTAAACTCAGTCTCTGACGTGTTTAAAATAACTGGGAATCGCACATGAAGAATTTGTTCCAGAAGTACCTCAGTCATGCTGTTAACACTCCTACAGTTCAGATACAACTTTGAAACCAAAAAAAAATCCAGTATAAGTTCTGTAGTCACAGTAATTGTTGTCTTGTAATCATGTCCTCTTTTACTGACTTGCTTGCAGACCCTGAACCTGCTCTTGGCAGGTAATTGTGCCTTGCTAATTTTAGTTCTGCCTTTCTGTTCCTCAAGTAGCCCCAGTGAGAGTGGCTAAGTAGTTATGCAAAGACTCGAGGTCTTTACCCAATGCTGCTATTGGCTTATGGATAAGACGGAAGATATTACCTAAAGAGCACCTTCAGGTTAGGTGGGGAGACTCAAATCTCTATTGCTGGAGGTTCTAGAAGTTGTCACTATGTAAAGATGCAGAATATGCCTGTGTATGGGTGAGAGAGGGTGCACAGGTATATCTTCTTTTCCTTCTAACAACAGATTTATTGTTATGTGAAGGTAGCATATATTGGGTAGGTGCAGTATATATTTTTGTATACAGATTTTTCGTATAACTTAAAAAGAAGAGTCTACTGAACCTCTCTACAGGCTTAAGTGACCTACTGGGTGGGCTTGGTCTATTTTGGCTGTACTTTTAAGAGCCAGGAGCATAACTCTAAAGAAGTTTTTGTGTATGTGATTTTTATGCTTTATGTCGTGATTAATTTTTGCTTCTCTGGGGAACAGCGAGAGACATAGTGCAACGGTATCTTCATTTTTATGGCTAAAGCTTTGTCCAACAAAACACATTTCTTTAAAAGCTGTGCTCTTAGCAGTTGGTGTTATGAGGTAGGATGAGATTTTCCTTTAGAACATGAGACAAACCCAGGCAGGTTGCTTGTATCAGTGGAGCAAAGTTCTCTGATCCTTGCTTGCCAGCAAATGTTCAGAAGCTGCTTTGATGCTCAAACCAGGTGTTAGACTAGCAGAGGGGTTTTCTGCTTCTGGAAGCAGACACATGAAATACTCCACCACCTGAACGAGTAGAGCAGGCACCTCTTTCACCGTATGTGTGCTAGTTACGCTGTTCAGAAAAATCTAAGCTGCTTTGCTCAATCCGGTTATAAGAGACTTAGATGAAAAGTTGTAAATGTGTGTATATATATAAGTTGTCCTATAAAGCTGTTCTAACTTCTAGTTGTGCTGATCTTACTCTGCTGGTTGCTGATAGTGCTAAAATAATAAATTGGAATGATACTTTTTCTCCAGCATTTGTCAACTTGACTTTCAGAATCTTGTTAACAAAAGATACGGAAAAACAAACAAACAAACAAACCCACAAACAACAACAACAACAACAACAAAACCCTACATCTTCCTTCCTTTACTTTTTCTTCCTGGCAGTGTTTTAGAGCACTTTGCTGCAAGGGACCACCACCACCACGACCCGAATATGACTTGGTTTGCATAGGCCTCACTGGCTCCGGCAAGACAAGTCTGCTGTCACAGCTTTGCAGCGAAAGCGCAGAGAATATAGTGTCCACCACAGGTAGGATTGCCTTTATTCCATGGTGTGCTGTAACATTGCATGCAGTAGCTCTAAAGCACGTAGCATGTGCGGCTTTGTATCCTGTTTTAAAAATGATATAATTCACTATTTTGAATTGAATAGCTCTACTTACTTGTTCAGAGTTTGCTAATACAATGAGAAATGTGCATAAAAGCATATAGTTTGCAGTATCTTAAAAGTCAGAATATGGTGTAATAAAGTAGATTCTTTGGAAATGAACTGTATGAGTTTAGCATGGAACCATTAAAGGTTTCTTTCCTTTCCTTTTATTCATTTTTATTATTTATTTGTTTATTATTTTTATTTATTTCTTTTTTACTTCTGTTTTTAAAGCAGTTGTGCTATAGAAACAGAAAAGAGGAGGTAATGTGATATAAAATAGGGTGGGGTAGTTCAGCTATGCAACCTCTATTAAGATTATTTCTTTTCATACTTGGTCAATACTGCTTTGTAGTGTATGCTAGCAACCAAAAGAGTAAATGTAATGTGAGTGTTTATTTCTGACGATAATCTTTTCTTTTAGATCCAAAAATGGACTTGTTTATGTAGTAAGGGCAAACTGAGAACAGAGAATAAAGGATCTTACAAGAGGTCATTGCATATTAAGATGATAAGTAGAAGCAGACATAATCACAGCTAAAGGCACTTAAGTGCAAAAAGCTTAAGTTTGCATACTGATACAGATCGACCAGAATGCCTAGTATTGAAACTTTGACACCACACTCTCACTCTTCTCTTCCTCTTCTCCACTCCTTCCCACTGCCCCTTGCCACCCCCCCAACACCAAAAAAGAAAAAGGTTAAAAAAAATAAATAAAGTGAGCAAAAAGAAATACTTGTCTACAAAGTTCAGAAAGAGGACAGATTAGGTCATAGAAATGGAAGAAATCTGTTTGTGTGGCTACAGTGATTTTAATATGGTTGATTTGCAGAGGGAAAAGATAGTGGGTGTTGTGCGAGTAACTTATGTATGTAGTTATATGGCTTTATATTGTACTTATGGTTCGTGGGCTTGAGTTTTATATGATTGTCCCTTAGCAACCCTAACTGATTTTCAGAGTATCTTTGTTTAAATTACAAGAACATAAGGCTATTAAATAAAACTGGAAGTCAACAAAGTGCAACAGGTAAAACAAAATACTGGTTCTTCTGCAGTGCATAATTAACCCATTGAGCTCACTGTCTTCATGTTTGTATTATTAGGAATTCTAAAGAGATCTGAAACTTCTTTGTGTGGAAAAGATGTCAATACCAAATTTGAAAGGTTAGAAAGAAATCACTGAGCAATTCGGTCATTTTTTCCCTCCTTAGCTTTATCTGTAAAGTTCAGCTGAAATTAGTGCAAATTAACTTTTAACGCTTTGGACCCTGAAAGGTTTACTAACCTAATATAAAGAGCAATGTAGCTCTCAAAAGCAATAGTGCAAATATGATTTATTTCCAAATTACGTTTCTTATGCTTCTAGATAGTATTTTGTTGAAACGATCGTATCATTCTGCAACTTGAGAAATGAAAATGGACTTTGGAGAAAGCTAGGCAACATACAAATCAAAGTGATGCAGTTTATCTTAGTAAATCCATCCGTCTGTACCAGAAAATGCTATATTAAAAGATATCATTAGGAATTGAAGAATCTGATGTGCCAGCTTCTCCACCCTGATTTCAAACTGTCACCTATATTTGTGTGTTTCTCAACAGTGCCACTGAAGTCCATCCCAGTTTTTACTTCTTTCTAGGATTTATTTTTAAGAAAGCAACAAACAAGCTATTGCATAATTATTCCCTCCAGATTTTCTTGCACTTTCCTCTACAGAATCTAGGACTGACCAGGATTGGAGTTAGAGCTCTACAATATCATATTGGTCTGATATGGGTGAATTGTTACCCTTATTTCTGTTAGATTTCTATAAGCTAATAAACCTGTAATGTCTTTCTTCAATGACACACTGTTCAATTATAGGAAAACTGTGAAATGTTTTATAATAATTTTTGTTTGTTTTAAGATATAAAATGATAATAGAGGATTCAGATACTTTTAAGACCTTGTAACCATATCTATACATGCCACTCAGATATGTAGAATGTTCTTTCTGTTAATAATATCTATAGAAATGCTTAACACTCTAATTGCAACTAAAAACTGCACTGTTTATATATAAGAAAGTGGTAATTAGATGTGTATGGTGTCTTCCTTGTCTCCTAGAAATTGTAGAAGGATCACTTCGTATTACTAGTAAAGTTAAATCTAAACTTCAGTTACGAACGATTTTTATAAGGATGTACTTAATACTAAAATCCCTGCCAAATGGTGGACAGCTTGGATTACAGTTTTATGCTGAATATATTTTGCAGCTATTTAAAAGTGCCTTTGCTAATTTCATAATTCTTACTGATCTTATCTCTTATGACTGATAAGTTTAATCATCTTATTTATTCTGAGAATTTCTCATGCAAAATCCTGGCGAACAAGGTAGACTTTTCTGATTGTACATGGTTGATTTCAAATGTTCTCTTTAATAAATAACATACTAATATTCTTTATTTCTCTTTTTAGGTTTTAGCATAAAAGCAGTGCCATTCCAGAATGCCATCTTGAATGTAAAAGAACTTGGAGGTATTACACTTAATCATTTATTCATTTGATTGTAAGAAGCTATAATTATCAAATTGTTTTTTCTTTAGAATATGAAAATGATAGATCAGGGTGGCTTGAACTTATTTAAAAATCAAAGCATGGTGGTTTAAACTGAGAAAAATGCAACAGTACTGATTTAGAGAAAAAGAAAGTACAAAGTTGGAGTAGAAGGCAGATAGTGTTGAGTATCTTACTTGGATTGCAGAGGTTCGGCCATGCAAAAATGCGAATAATTGTAGTATGGCTCATATGGCAGCTCAGGAAAGTGTTCGCAGTACTTATTGTGCATATGAGCTTTTTCTTAGGAGCAACTGTTCAGCAAACTCTTGAGCTTAGAAGTATTTTTGACATAACCAAGCTTTTTGATGCATTGCTGAAAGTATTACAAGGGGAGTTGGAAGTTGGCTGTGTTGGCTGAATATATGTTAATTGAAAATTATTATCTTGTATTTATTTGGTTTAGGGAATTTTCGTGTGGCTGGATTTTCTTTCTTTTTTTAATAAGTTTTTACTCATATAAGCTCTTTGGCTGCCAAATGCTGTGGCTCACAAACAGCTATGCAAGCAAAAAATCCCTACATAAAGGCCCTACGAGATGTCCCTACGTAAATCTTCTTCATGCAGACATGCTGGTTTGCTTCTTATTTTTTGTTGTGAGGCTGATTAGCAAGTTTTTCAGAGCTTGAGTCTTAAATCAAGAGGTAGCTGTTGAAAGGATGAAAACACACTACTTGTGGAGTCTAGTTACATCTAGAATTTTTCTAATTAACCGTACAGATCATCTTTATATACTAAAACTTCAGCAGATCTTCTTTATATTCTACATAAATACAGGAGAAGGAATCATGAGGATGTTCATTAGATTTTAAAGAAGACTTAAGCTTGATTAAGGTGCTCTGAGGAAGAAATTAGGTTGTTTCTCAAAGGAAACTTCACTGTAAAATCAAGTTTTACGATGACTCTTACCTGAATTGTCCAGATAAACATACATTAAAAGGAGAGCATTTCACCTTTACTGCTGTTGGTCCGCATGTATGCTTGTTTGCTTATGTATCCTATAAAGAAAGTAGAATTTTTCTCAAGTAAATAGAACACAGCTCATGTGTAGTAGGGGTTTTGTTTAACAAACACTTTTGTGATTTTTGTTTGTTTTTCGAAATAGCACAAATCATTTGCAGACCAATTTGCACATTTTGTTGTCTCTGCAACTGACTCTATAATAAGGATACATAAATGCAGCTTTAGTAAGCTAAGTCTGTTGCTTAGATTGAGTTTAAGCTTATCATATAAAGTTTACTTTACGCGTGTCTTGAAAACCTTATCTCAATGAAGAGTGTTGTCCTGGAGGAATCTGTGACACTTGATTTCCTTCACTGTTTCATTTTTTTTTTCCTTTAACTATGAATGTTTCTGTGTTCATCCTTAGAGATGATGTCGTTTTTTTTTTCCCCACAAGATGCTAGCGGAGAAAAATGCCAATTTTGATAGGCTTTTCTTTGCATCTAAGAGAGCTATGCCAGACCTGCAAAAGTTTCTTAACTTCTTGGTCAGTATTTAATCTTCTAATTGAAAGAAGTGTTTTTGTGTGAAAATGTAAAGCTGGAGCTTTCTGGAGTGTGTCTGGTTTCTCTGGTGCTCTCTGAAAAAGTAGAAATTAATCTGACATTTAATAATGCGTCTACTTCACTGCTAAATTTTATTCTGAGGTTTTTGGTTCTGATGTTAAGGAAGAAGCCTATGGTCTTGGTCTTACCCTCTTTTTTTGCCTTCATTTTTTTCAAAGTCTTGTTACCCAAGTTCTGTTTTCTCTACTATGGAGGTCCAGGCATTTTTTCTTAAAACTTGGAGGATGAGAGAAAGGCACCATTTTCAATGATCACTATTCATTGTCACCTGTTATTCAAAAGGCAAAGTTCTATTTTGTTTTAATTCTGATACCCTATTTTAAAACCATCTTTTAGGTTTAGGAACCTGAAATTTGCAACTTTCATATGTCTTTATGCAGCAAAGTTTTCATAGCCAATAGTTAAGGAACTTGCAACAAAAGCAATGCTTTTTTAAGGTCTTACGTTCAACGGCCAAGCAGTTATGCGAAACAGATGCTGACTGCAAAATATTCTTTTTTTTTTTTTTTTTTTGGTTGTTTTGTTTTGGCAGAAGTAGTGTCCTTGCTTGAGGTTGAAGATGGTGCTAGTTTTTACTGTGGTGGTTGCCTTCTGGAGCTGCTAATGAAGTCAGGACTTTGTTTCTTCATTCCTGTTGGGATTAAAAAATTCAGTGCTAAGTATATAGAAAAGTCACTTTTCTGTTGTCTGCTTCTGATCTGATTATCCCTTCATCAGTCTTTAGGATTAACTAGGGCCTGGAATAAAATTTGTTGAGCTCTTTGGCAAAAATTTTACTTTCAAGTACATGCTATCAAAATACTAAAACCAAAATTGAATTCCTTGTTGTTGTTGTGGTGACTTATACCTTACTACTTTTTATTGGATTAATATGTCTGTTTTTGTTTTATCCAATTTCACAAAGTTAAAAGCTTTGTTTAAAAAGGTAAAATTAGATCCTGATTCAGTAAAAATGTGCGTGTGTGTGTATGTATATGGCTTTCAAATAAAACAGATATGCTTGAGTTATTTGAAAAGCAACACTTGCTTTACCGACTGATCAAATTTAACCTCCCATTCTCCAAATTTCTATTTTGCTCTATCACTAATTCCTTCCTCCTCTCAGACAAATGAAAAAATAGTTTTCTTCCAAAAGCAAATATGTGATTTAGAATATTGTGAGAATGTGCCATGCCTTAGCCCTCTTGCTTTCAAAGTGTATTCTTATCAGCGTAGGTTGAAATATTTCTATATTACTCAATCTAATTTAGTAAGTGTAGAGGAAGAAATTAGGCTGGACTGTTTCCTGTTTCAGTGCAGCAATCTCTGGGAAACAGGGTTGTAATTGTAGGTAAAGAATGTAAATGAAAGTGGAGAAAGACTGGAAAAATGAAGTAGATGTTAACATTTATTGTTTGAAAGTGTTTAATAGGTTTTTGCTCAAAGAGGCTTGTGATACTGAATGCTGAGGTCTAATCTCAAGATAGATAATGCAGGGGCAATGACAAGGTGAAGCTTTTCCTTTGATTCTTAAGAGTCTCTTCCAAGCTGGAGACACAAAACCTGAAGCTGTCATTCATCAGTAGGATTATTCCGTTGTTTGCTGTTGCAACGTGGTCAATGGAATGCTAAGTAATAGTGTCTGTTGTAATGTGAATACGTATTCAGGTTTAAATCAAGATTACAGAGCCATCTAATAATCTATAGGGTTTTTTAAAGGCAGAATAGATTATATTTTAAATGTGCCCCCTTGTTAATAAAAGCTTAGAAACTACATGCAAGTCAAACTGAATGGAAACTATGAACACCTAGAGAAGACTTCAACAGATGTCAGGTAGCATCTACCTTCAGAAAAAAATGAGGAAGGAGGAAGAAAGTTATTTTGGCTTATGAATTAGAATTTAAATATTAAACTGTTTATGGGAAAACCACCCTTCCTCTGGGTCCTATAGGAAAGGAGGAAGTACTGGACAACCTTCCAACAATATAGCCTGACAGAGCAGCTAGCGTTTCATCTGTTTAGTCATCAGAAAACGGATCCCACGCGTAAATACCAGTCTAAGTCATTTGTACAGGGACATGCTAAAATAAAGCAATAAGATTTCCTTACTGCATTTATCTAAAAGGCAGTTCACACCTCTACAAAATCTGGTCATGGAGTGAGTGCATGTAATACCATCTGACACGTATCTGCATCTAGCAGCTTACAGAACATCTTAACAGATGAAATTTTAGATGACCCTGATGAACTATACAAGCTGATGCGCACAGAGACATTCAGCTTCCAAAAGTATTAGAGATCTGTTTGCTATCAGTCATACTCAGCATTCTGTTCAAATGGTATCTAGGCCCTGGCTCTTCCACATGGTTTCCTCATCTCATAGATAAGAGGGATCACTTTCTCTTCTTTCCTGATCATATGAGCTTGAGTCCCGAGGAAACTCAAATAAACATTCAACAGTCTTTGCTGTGTTCTTCGGAAACCTTCTTCTTTTTACATCATTAGTCTTTTGCTGTGTGACAACCCATTGCATATCTGATTCAAAACAAATATCTGCCCCATGAACAACAACTGTCAAAGCACAAGCTGCACTAGGGTATGAAAAAAAAAAAAATCCTTCCTGCCTTTTTTTTTTTTTTTGTGGTAAAAGTGCGGTGTTTTTAGCAAACTGGTTTCCAGCAAATCTTGAAATTTATTTTTCTTCAGGCTCTTTTCTCCAGACAGATGAAGTATAATAGCCTTCTTTTTTCCTCCCTTTATTTTAGTCAGAGGAGATTTTGATGCTTTGAAAGGCAAAAACTGATTCAAGTTTTTGTGAGCCTTTCAGCAGAAGGGATAAGTAGACAGGGGATAGGGGAATTTCTTTGTGCATATTTCTACTAGTGTGGTAGAGAGATGGATAAAAGACCTTTCCATATGATACTGCAGCCAAAGCTGTGACTCAAGCTAATATAAATGTACCTCTAAGCTACCCAGGTACCTGCTAGAACTTGGGTACTCAATGGATATGGACATGTACATACCAAAAACAGTTACCTTTTAGGATTAATAACTTCATCTGTAACAAAAAGAATTGAAGCGGTTGAAAAATACTTTGTGTTTAAAAACAAAACAAATCCGAAGGCTGTTTTTCTTTTGCTTCTTCCTTCTGGGAAATCTAAATGGTGAATATGGTCAAGCTAGATAAGGAACAGGCAGATCTCTTAAAAATGTGTGTAATATGTCATGCATCTTCTGGTCGCATAAGAGAGATCTCAGTTTGTCTTGTAAAGCAGTGATGGGCTACATGTTAATAAATCCTACCTTTAGCAACAGTTATTTCAAAACTAATTCCTAAGGTTGATTTATATTTACATCTCTCTTCCCCCCCCC